GAGTCTTGTTGTTTCAAACGGTATCTTAAAGTTGCCTATTGCTCTTGTATTGTATTTATTTATATACAATACAAGATATTTATATTGTTTTTAAAAAAGTGTGCTGCAAAATGTTCTGGAACCAGATTTAGTTTATATTTAAACATGAAAAGAATGTTTTGAAAAATATTTATTTGAAATATATTTAGTGCGTTCATTTGTTCCAATAAGGGTTGAGCATAAGCTAATTTATTTTTGTTGTATACTAGTCTTGAAGCGCGTTTTTGACGCAGGTAAAGTGGTTCTAATTTAGATTTGAGACATTTAATTGACATCTGATGAGAAAATTTTGTTCTTAATGGAAAAAAATGTTCTGCAATCCATAAAACAACCTGCAAGCATAAATGAAACATGAGAACCTAAACATTGATTTTATTCTACTTTGATCTTTGATACTTTATTCAACTGATACTTTGTTCTGGTTTTGTAAGTGGTGCAGGAAAAGGCAGAAAAGTTACCATGAAACGCTTAGTGGAGAGAATTCTACATTTATATTCTTGAGACTCTTAAATCAATTGTTCTGGATAAAGATGAAAAACGTCAGATACAAAATAAAGTCACTACACTCTTAAAAAAACGACAACTTTGGATGTTGCTTTTATGTAAAAGCTTTTGCACAGAATCTTTAGTAAAAAATTTTGAATTGAACACTTGTACCCTCATAGACAAGTTGAAAATGAGCTTGAACATAAGCTAACTTCTAACGAGTCTGCAAAAAGAAAGTTTGGTTTTCTAACTAGATTTCCAACCTTAACCGTTTATGTCATTGCTGCTGCTGTCAAATTTTTGTAAACTATTTATTCTTTAAACTTAAATACACAATTCCAATATAAAATTGTCCAGGCTTCAAAAGTACATGGCAAATGAGAAGAATATATAAACACTAGGATGTTTTCAAGCAATTTGAAGGAATAAGTTAAATCAGTTTTCCAAATGCTGATTTAAGATGTTGGATTTTTCTAACCTTTCTTATAACCAATTGCAGTTCAAGCATCTTCAATACCATTACCAACTGCAGATCGATCATTTTAGAAACGAAAAGAATTTAGAATGATCTCTGTTTCTCAACGATATATATATATATATATATATATATATATATATATATATATATATATATATATATATATATATATATATATACATATGCGGTAGTGGTGTAGTGGTAAAAGACTCGTTTCATAAGCGAGAGGTTCCGAGTTCGATCCCCACCACATCCCAGGAAGTACCGCGCTCAACTTGTTTCTCCGCGCAGCGGCCTTGTTCGTCAAGGTTCGTGTTTCGAATATATATATATATATATATATATATATATATATATATATATATATATATATATATATATATATATATATATATATATATTTATATATAGCCAGGGCCGCCGATAGCTGTCACGCCGCCTGGGAAAGCAATCTTGATTGGCGCCCTTACTTATCAAATTTTCCCTATATTAAATTGGCGCCCCTCGGAAATCTGCTGCCCGGGACAAACTGTCCTGGTGGCCTCTTCCCCCCCCCCCCCCTCTTTCTCGGCGGCCCTGTATATAGCTTTTTGCGCGTTTGTTCGTAGAGAGTTTTAATGTTCAAAAATACGAATAAGATTACCTTGTAGGTAGGGAGTGGTAGGACTAATTCTTTTAAAAAACATTATTATTTGTAAAAAACTTATTAAAAAAGTTTAAATTTATGTTAAAATTATCTGAGATTTTTTTTTATCAATTTGTCTCGCCTACCCATACTTATGTTAAAAAATAAGCCCCAAAATAAGGAAGTTTCAAAACACAATATTAAAAAATCTAATCAAGTTATTACAATGAATTTTTGTGCTCTGTTTTTCAACAATCGATAATTTATTTCAACAAAAATGATATATTGAATCTTAATAAAATAAAAATATGCATCATTTATTATGTATACACTAAAAAAATACCAAGTTGAGAATAAAAAACTAATAAGCATTAAATACATTTATTTCTTATAAGATTTTAGTTCAAATGAATTTTATATGTATACTGAAGATACTGTGAAAATATGAAGCAAATTAAATTTTTCTAACCTTAGATATTTGGTTTTGAAGATTCTTGCAAAAAAATCAAAGTTCAATAAAAAGCAAAAGTCGTTATATATTTATATATATATATATATATATATATATATATATATATATATATATATATATATATATATATATATATATATATATATATATATATATATACATATTTAAAACCACCTGATACATAAAATGAAGACCATTAGGTCTTGTCTTCAAGAACCACTTGTAAATTTCTTAAAATTTACATAAACTTAAAACTTCATAAAATTTAATTTATATAAAGTCAAGTGAATATATAGTTAATTACATTTAAGTGCATGTTCTTATAAATATTCAACTGATTAAACATAAACTAAAATAATACATCAAATTAATTACGTTTAAAAATATGACAATATATCATCATGTGACAAAATGATTTCTTTAAGCTTATTTCTGAATGAAAAACAACTCCATTGCAGAGAAAAATTAAAATGTTTTAAAAATATTTTGTTTTAAAGAAAAGCTCCTCGAAAAGAAATACTAGATTTTTTTATGGTTTATGTGACAAGCATATTGAGCTTTCCAAATATTGTATCCTGGCGAAGCTTTCTTATTTTTCTATATTCTACAGCGCGCGCAAAGTTTTGACATTGCTTCATAACCAACGCACTTATCACCCACAATTATGCCGTATATACACTATGCGGTAGTGGTGTAATGGTAGAGCGCTCGCCTCATAAGCGAGAAATTCCGAGTTCAGTTCAATCTCCACCACGTCTCACGCTCATTTTGTTTCTCCGCGCAGCGGCCTTGTTTTTTAAGGTTTGGGTTTCGAAGTTATAGAACTGAGAGAGGATTGTAACCACAACTAAAAGCAGCCTCCTCAACTGTAGTGGCCTTCATGGCCTTGAGAAAATGAATTGAGACTAAAAAAAAGTTCCACTTACAAATCCATTAAGGAAGGTTTGGCCGCCTCGTTGCCCTGTACCATCAATCTCAAAATGCTTTAATATTGGTTTATTATTATTACTATGGTTATCTTTCATTTCAGTTGTTGCACTTTTCATACTTTCTTTAGCAGTTTTATCCTAAGCTTTTGATACTTCTTGATACTTTTACAAATTGATTTCCATTAGTGGCATTACATCAGTTGCAGTAATTTTCTTGCACCTGAGGCTGGAACAATATTTGGATTGCTTTTCTGTTGTCTTTCTACTGCAATCGTTTAAAGATTTCCATTAAAAAATCTTTTCTTTTTTTGTCCAAAAACTTTGCTTATAGGATACTTTAATTTTATTTCTTGAAGCACTTATTATTTATAATACTTGAGGTGAAATCTAAAAAGATTGATTACACCAAAATTAAACAGCATACACTAAATTTGCTACAATAAAACTGCCAAAATTTACGATGTTCCTCCAGTTTTGACCTTGAACCTTCTATGACCTTTAACAATTGCACATTTTTAGTTTATGATGAAAATCTTGTTATGTTTTTTAGGGTAAATATCAAGGCAAAAAAACTGTTTATAGTTGCTAAGGGAGTAACTAAGGACTGATCGTTTTATGTAGTTGCATAAAAGCTTTAAAAACTAGATAAGTTATAATAAAAAAATTTTTTTCAGTAGATGAAAGCTAAATAACTTTTATTCAAAAAATTTGAAAATTTTTTTAAAATTTTTCTTTATTAAAATTATATTTTTGTTTGATTTTTTTTTTTTATGTTTTTATTAAAGTTTTTTATTGTGATTATTTAATTTATCGTTAATATTATCATAATTTTATATAATTAAATGTTTTATTTTTATTATTTGATTAAAAAATAAATAGAGTAAAACTGGGTCAAACCGATCACCAAATCATTCCGATCGAAATTGTCAAATAAAAACTAAATGGATATGACTATAAAAAAAATGAAAATACTTACTGGCAACAATGAAAAATTTTATTATAACCTTATATATGTTTGTACCCCCGATATATCTCAGATTGATTCAATCTGAGATATATCGGGGGTACCATCGACTAATGATATTAAAGTAGACACCCTTGATTTGAGATGAAAAAACGAGTAACAAAGGTTATCTGTTCAATTATTGGACAGATAACCTTTGTTACTCGTTTTTTCTTCTATAAAAGAGAAACTATTCGCAAAGAAGGAAGATCTTAAACGGATTAAGGACTCTTGTTTGCAAATTTTCCAAAAGGGTGTAGCTGTAGTTGGACCACTAGGATTCAAAACTTTTAACTCCCTTATAAAAGAAAGCAAAAATTGAAGCGCATTAAAGATGATACACCGAATACACCCCGATTTCACGACAGCCAAACTAAAGAATATGAAGCAAAAGTTTTTAATGTTGGTTTAGACAGTCTGATTCTGCAGATTGATGCAAGATTTGAGGCAAGCATAATAGTTGGCAATATCAGTTTTCATTTATCTGGTGATTTTTTTGTCCAAAATAAAGCCAAAAACCTGCACGATTTTATTCGAGAAATGTGAACAAAGGAGAATCATTAAAAAAGTTTTTGGTTTAACAATGCGCGCAAAAAAACTTTCAAGCAAGGAGACCCGCTACAGCTACTAAATCAAATCTTTGAGAAGCTTGAACGCCTTTTACCGTACTTTGCATCATGCTCCGGATTTTTGATACTACTCATGTGTCACTTGCTGAGGGGAACGATTGTTTTGTAAATTAAAGATTGTAAAAAACATTCTCTGTTCGACCATGGGCCACGATTTAAACATTAGATTTTGTTATTGGTATATTTTTTTAAACATTTTTACACGATAGGAAAGACGTGGCAAAAACTTTTGCCACGTTTTATCATTAAGTACTCATTAAAAAACTCAAGAAAGATTTTACCAGAAGCCTGCAAAAAACTTATTTTTAAACTAAAAATTGTTTAGCAAAACGAAAGAAAAAACGTTATTTAAATCAATCGCAAATATAAAACTTACAAATATTTTTTTAAATAAAACTACTCTTTTTTGTAGTCATAGCAGTAACCGTAAAACCAGCAAGCGCCTTTGGCAATATTCGCTTACTCACTGTTATTCGTATTATCTTTACTAATTCAGAATCGCATCAAGTACATTTTTGGAGTTCTTCAACGGAATGAGTTGCTTCATGCAACTTTAGCCTCGTTTTCTCGATGCATTTATAATCGCAGTGCGCACATTTAAAAGGCTTCTCACCCGTGTGTGTTCGTACATGACGAGTTAAATGCGTTTTTCGTGCACTTTTATAATCGCAAAAAGTACATTCAAATGGTTTCTCTCCAGTGTGTTTTCGCTCATGTAGCATTAAAGTATTTTTATTTGTATGTTTGTAATCACAAAAAGAACATTTAATTGCATTGTTACCAGTATGAGTTAGCTTATGCAGTTTTAAATATGTCTTTCGTGTACACTCAAAATTGCAGTAATTACATTTCAATTGTTCCCTCGAAGTATGAGTCTTTTCGTGCAATTTCAAATTACTTTTTCGTACACATTTATATTCACAATAAGTACATTTAAACGATTTTATACCAATGTGAGTCTGTTCGTGAGAAGTTAAACTACATTTGCTTGCACATTGATAACCGCAACTTTTACATTTGAATGGTTTCTCTCCAGTGTGAGTTCGTTCGTGCAACTTTAACCTTTCTTTTCGCGCACATGCATAATCACAATAAGAACATCTAAATCGTTTTTCGCCAGTGTGCGTTCGTTCATGACATGTTAAACGATATTTGCTTAAAAATTCGTTATTACAATAACTACATTTAAATGGTTTTTCTCCAGTATGAGTTCGTTCATGCAATATCAAATGTGCCTTCCATGCACATTTATAATCACAATGAGTACATTTAAACGGTTTCTCCTTGGTGTGTGTAAGTTCATGTAAATGCAAAAATTTTTTTTGTGCACATTCGTAAGCACAGTGTTTACATTTAAATGTCACAGAAGTATCGCTTGAATATTCATCCTCGTTATCATTGAAATTAGATAAATCTGTATCTAGGTTTAATTTATTTGTTTCATCACCACTTGAACTCTCTGAACTATCATTTTTTTGATCTTTTATGCAATATCGAGAGTGTGCGTTTAAATATTCGTCAGTGGTAAAACATAAGCCACAATGCTGGCACAAATAATTGTCTAAAGAAATGAAAGTCAAAAATCATTAATAAAACAATGCAATATTAAATAAACTTCCTCTGTTTGATACTTTTAAAAATTTAGGGAAGTTTTTATGTATTATTAAAAATGTTTTTAAGTTATTGTAAAATCAACAAAACATAAATATAATAAAGAAAGGAAAAATGTAACATTGTGATCAAATTGGTGAGTTAAATATTTAACTTAATATTATGAAAATATTATTGACGATTGGAACACTTTTCTTGCAAATTTAAATTTAAAGTTATCTTTAAATTTAAAACTGAATTCGAATTTAAAAATTTTAAATTAAAATTAAATTAAAAATTTTTGATGATAAATGTTTCTTTATGGACTACAACTATTTATAAGAAATCAAATTCTATAAAATTAAATTAATTGTGGTCTCATCTACGTTAAAAACTTTGTATAATCTAAGGTATTAAAAATACCTGCATGCATGTTGATACAAAACGTATCACTTTGTTATCAAGTTCAAGTATCAGTTTGTTAGTTTTTTTAATTATTCAAATAATTTCAAAATGAGAAAAACAAAGATGCGAATTCTTTGTTTTTCTCATTTTGAGAAAAACAAAGAATTCACATTTTTTGCCTGTACGCTTTGGAACCCGTAAAACCTTTTGGATTCTAGTGGTTCCCTAATATAGAAATATTTTTTAAAATAAGATGTAATTAATCACAGATAAGCTTTTTCTATGTAGAATTTAATTCTAAAGTAAACAGTGACACACAGAATGTCACCTGATCAATGCTTGCTAAAATAATGTTAAAAAAATTTTAAAAGTGCAATAAATCCATTTTTTATAATAAAAGATTTTTAAGTCTACTGTTTATATACTAAATTGTGATTTCACAGCTTTGGATAAAAAAAGTGGAAATTATAATAAATGCATTAAGGTTTAGATATATTAAACACTGTTTAATATATCTAATAAAAATATGATATTACAGATAGACCTGTTTAATAAACAGGTCTATCTGTAATATCATATTTTAAATGTAATGTATTACAGAATATTTAATAGCTTTGTGGAAGTTTTTAAGAAGGAATTTTTATGGATGTCACATTTTTAGTAATATATTGATGCAAAAAGATAAAACAAAAAAACAGCCTACTTACAGCCTACTTACAACAGAAAGATGTTCAAAATAAAAAAATTATACAAAAGTAATAACTCATAAGAGAATGTTAGCTAGTGTTATTAGCTTAAATTTTTGTTAAAATATCATGTGGAATTTTTAACTGCATATGATATTTTAACAAAATATCCAAGACATCTTAGATTGCACATTTATACTTTTTTCTAGTGTTGGTAAATTGTCAAAGACCTCAACTGAAGATTTATCAAGTAAAAATCTACAAAATTGAGAAAAATGTCTAGCATTAGGAGATTCATTAATGTTATACAACAATAAAAGTGAAGTTTTAGAAATATTGAACTTTTCAATTATTTGTTAGACACTTAAAAAATAAGTGCCGCCAGATTTTGTCTTAACCTGTTGAATTCTTTTTTAAGTGGGTCTGTAGTAAATTTTCCTAACATAACATATTTGTATGTTTCTCTTAATAGTGTTTTTGTCAGCTCAACAATTTTTCTACATAAATGATTTATGGAATGCCCTGTATGATATGTTAATTGTTTTATGCATTTTCCCTGATTACTTGTAATACATAATAATTCTCGAAAATCCCAAATAAACTTTATTCGCTCATTAAACCTACAATCCACACCCACACTTTTTACATTTAAAACTTTTCACCATGTGACAACCATTTTAATAAAATCAGCTGTCTTGCTTATGTTTAATATTTTGGAGGTTTCAGTAGATGATTAAGTAGACCATTAAACGTTTTGTCAGAAAATACTTTTAGACCGGTAAAAAAAAGATTGTTTTTCAATAAGACTCAGTCAAAGAGAAACTTCATTTAAATTAGAAAGTTTCATTAAACAATTAAACTCAGCTTCAAAAAGTTATATTAAATGATTCCAACAAGCTATTTTCTCAACACCATTTTCATAAAAAATAAGCTCTCCTTTTTTTCTGTGAGCAGCATTTTCAGATGTTTTTGATTAAGTTAACAAACAACAAAAACGTTCTACTGGTAGTTATCCAAGGTTTTCAGGAAAAATTGTGTCAAATTAAAAAAATACTCGATTAGTTCAATTTCTGTTATTTTTTGGTTGTTCTCTTCCTTTTACTTTTAAATCAAACAAATCTAAAACTGACGTTTTAGATTTGTTTGATTTCTTTGATAAGTAATTCATAGAACAGCCATAAACATTTTTTTAACAGAACAAATAAAAGAGAATCATAAACTAACCAGCTTTTTAAGATCTTCTGCATTCATTTTATTGGAGTTAATACCCCTCCCCATTTTATTTTCCATATATAATACTTTAATCATCAAAGTTATTGCTTATAAATATTTGATAATCTATATAATTTAATTTGCCGTATATTTAGATAAAGTGAAATTTTAATTTACTAAACAAAAAATAACCATGCTCTTTAAACATTTTGTAACGTGTAATTTTGTAAAGGCATTTATGCCTCTAGCTTAATCAATTTTAGCCAAACATGATAGCTTATATTTCATCTCATCAGTTTTAATTCAAGCTTTGCACTACCCCATACTTTTCTTCTATTTGTGCAGCAGCTATTTCTAGCTGTAATCATTTCTTTCATCATTTTTATTAAAAACGACTCTTTTGAAAACAGACAAGCTTTACTTTCTATCCCTTGTATATAGGTATGATCAAACTACATCAAACAAAGATAAGGGAAAAACTATTTGCCAAAGCTCCTCTAATACAATTGAAAAACAATGAATAGCCTTTTCAACTGTAGTTTCCCTCTATAAAGACTATGTAGGTGATGTGAATTTAATTTAAACATAATAATCTTCTAAACCTGACAACCACATTTATTCTAAAAGAATAAATGTGATTATGGCTACCTCAGATTTTGCTGACTTTTGTACAGTTGAGAGAACTTAGTAAAATAAGAATTCCTATTCTAGACCATTTTCAATAGCGTCGACCATATTTGGGCACCACCTAAATTAAGATTTAAGGATTAAGAATAAGGAATAAGAAGGACCTTTTTTTTTTAAACGTTTTTTACATCAAATATTGTTTTTTTTTTTGCTTAAAAACGTTGACTTTTTGTTAAATTTCTCCGGGATGGAAGGAGGGGGTGTACTGCCGCCCAAATTTTTTTCCTAGAATAGGCCCTGATACTGAAGCACTTTTTCAAATGCTGCAAGATTAAATGCTATGTTTAGAACAGACACACACATTGAAGAAAAAACAAGGTACAACTATATTTAAAAAAACAACTCAACTTGGTAACAAAAAGAATAAACTAAAAGGATAACTAAAACTTTTGGATTTGCTAAGCTTGCTAATGTATGCAAATTATGCTTGCTAATGTATGCAAATTATGCTCATGTATTAAAAGTTATGTTCATTAAAAAAATGTATAAAACAAGAAATTAAAACATTTATTTTGAAAAACAAAAAAATGTTTTGAATTTAATGAAATTTTTGAGAGAAATTTATTTGAAGCCAGAAATAAAAGATAAAGAAGTTTTTAAAAAAGAATTAACTTAAATTAATACCAATTACTTTGAAAAGAGACTTTCTTTGTTTTTTTCATATTTTTTAACCATTCACAAGATTCTAAGTTTCATGAAAAATAAACAGTTAAAAAATCTGATAAGTGAAATACTTTAAAAAAACTTTTAAAACCTTTGATTTGAAATACCTCTCGATAGTTTGAATAACAAATAACTTGAAACGCCTCTCAATAGTTTGAATAATAAATAACTTAAAACGCCTCTCAATAGTTTGAATAATAAATAATATTTGAAACATTTCTCAATAGCTTAAATAATAAATAAATTTGAAATCTCAAACACCTTAAATTAAATTAATATAGTAAAAATAATGTATAGTGTGTATAAAAAATTGTTTACAAATTAAACCACTGTTTAAAATTTTGCTTAACTTGTTTATCCGCGCAGCGAAGAAACAAGTTAAGCAAATGTTCATAAATGTTTATGTTTCAGAGTTATAAAGTTGAGAGAGGGTTCTAACCACAATTAATAGTCTCCTCATCTGTAGTGGCTTTCTTGTCTGTAGTGGCCTTCTTGGCCTTGGGGAAGTGAATTACCATTTAAAAAAAAAAAAAAAAAAACATACATATGTATTAGAGATTTTAATTCTGGTTTAATAGTAAACAGCTTTTATCTTAAAACTTTTTTAAAAAATCAAAAAAAATATTTATTATTGGTAATTTTTTTAACTCTGGAATAGATGAAGTACTGCAATTGAAACTTAAATTTGCGGTTAAATGAAGTAAGCATGAAACCCTGTAATTAAATTTAAAAAAATAAACATAAAATTTTTAGTACTTTTTTCTTGTCAATAACATTACAAAGTTAACAACGCAATGTAGTCTACTGTTGAAACAAATGCTTGAGTAAACTTGTTGAATAAACTTGTTGAGTAAACTTGACTACTGTTGCAATCTTATTATCAAAATAGGGAAAATTTTGGAGAGCTAGATTTTTTTGCTCAATATTGAGAAACTTAAATAACTTAAGTTTCTTCAGAAATTATTTAAAAAAATGCTTTCTAATAAAAACTGTATTGAATTTGGATCGCTATGACTGTATTATTTTATTAGTATTATAAACAGGGGTGTGGAGTCGTAATAAAAAAGTAACGACTCTGACTCCGACTCACTGAACTTAAAAGTGCTGAACTTAAAAGTGCCCCTTCAAGCATGTTTGACAGCCATTGCAACCGAGGTAATGGCGACAAAGCAGTGCAACACATTTTTCAATAAGAAAATATGAATGAAGTGTTTGCAAATTAAAAGCAAATACCTTCAAATTATGTAATGTTAAAACATATTAAAAGATAAATCAAATCATTTTACAGTTTTATTTTTTCTTGATAATTACATTACAG